TTTGCTTGTGGTTCTGATTTTGTGTATATAAAGAACAGAGAAAGAGAGAAGAAAAGGGTGGAATTTGGTGATGGTAGTTATGGTTTGGTTTTATTCAGTTTCTTAGGAACATATTTTTCTTTTTTTGTAAGTTTAGAAGATATGATATTTGATATGTTATATAGTATAGGTTTTGTTGATGGCAGTGAGGGAAGACAGATTAGTTTTTAGCATAGTGTTCAACATAGTGATGTAAATACCAACTTTTATATTTTTGGAATGGCAAAGCAAAATTATGGCTTCACTTAAAAATTTGTTTCTATGTTTGCTGTGGATCTCACACTACATTCGTTTTGATCTATATACTTTTGGAAAGTGATCATTTCTGTTCCTATTTTTCATATTTTGGTTTACATATTTATGACTATATTTCAAGAAATTTTATTATCGAATGCATGCTAAAATTGTGATAAAAGAATGAAATAAAAATGTAAAAGAAGAACTGATTGTTTTTTTAAAACAAACCTTAAAAGTACAGGGATTGAAATGAATTAAAACTAGAAGCGTATGATCCAAAATAATATTTAAACTAATTAAAAAAATTAAGTTGACTGTAGTTTAATTATTAATAAAAAAAGGTCAAATATGGTTTGATCTTGAGAGTTAATAATTGACATAGGACCAATGTATTTTTATTTATAGCTTTAGATGTTCAAATTTTGTGTCAACCTCTGCACAACTCAATTGGTTTAAGTACCTATATTCGACTCTAGTCGTGAGTTCAATATTTCTTTTAGTCTTCTAATATTTTTTTCCCTAAAGGTCATGTAGGTTGCAAAAGAAATGTACAGCTTGAAAACGTCAAAGTTATAGGTTGATTTTGAAAAAGTTCAAAAATTTGATGGTAATAAATGTCATAATAACGAAATTAACAAAATTAAAGAATTCATTAGAAACTTTATAAAGTACATAAATTTAAAAGACACAATCCAATCAAACTCATGCTCCACGTAGATTTTGAACTTTGGTGACAAAAATAACGTTTTAACCAAAGAAAAAACATAGGGACCAACAAAAGCCAAATATGAAGGAAATTAAGTTACATATAGTTGGACTATAATAGTGAATATATAATTTAATTAGAATGGTCAAAGGGAAAAAAAACTTTATTATATATTATTAACCGTAAAAGGGGAAAAAAAAGACAAAAACAAAAAAGAGACGACTGGTTGTCCTTGCCAGTTCCATTCCCTCCTAACCCATTCTAGTTAAAAGACAATTTTGCCACTGCAACTTGAATCGCTTTCAAATTATAAATTATAAATTTAGTTTATGAATTTTAAATATTATATTTATTTAATCTCTAAAATTTAGTCACTTTCAATATGCAGCAACAATCTAGATTATACTTTTATCACCTCATCAGAGTGGTAACATAACATTATCGTACCATCAATAAATTTTTAACATCAAGAAAAATAAAACAAAGCACGAAAATATTATCAAACGGGTTTTAAACTTCTTTTCTTTTTTTTTTCAGAAAAAGAAAAATAAAAAAATGGACAGATAAAATTAAAAGATTATCTTAGTGTACCTTAATATTGAAACTTATTTATACTTTCTAACCTTCTAAAAAGTGCAAAGTGTCACACTTGGAGGTCGAGGCCGAGTCATGAAGAGAGAAAGGTAAGACTTCAAATCCAAAGTTCCCTCGACCTTAAATTTTCAACCACGAAGATATTAAGATCTCAATTATATTGATATTTTATTGGACATATCATTTAATTTATCGATAAAATATCGATATTGATTATTTTGATAAACCAAGAAATTTGTAGAAATTATTTCAATTAGTAAATAAGTTATTTTTCACTTATTAAATATATTTTTAATGTTTTATATTGATATTTATACGAGATATTGATAATATTAATTCATCATTAATGTCAATATAAATATTTTTCCTTTAAATTAATAATTAAGAAAAAGGTAAAATATATTTTTGGTAAGAAGTTTAGACTTAATTTTTATTTGGCCATTAAGTTTAAAAATATTAGTTTCAATTCAATGGATGACATTCTTCTTTTTTTTTTTAGCCTACGTAGTAAAGTCTAGTTAATATGTGCTAACTATCACATTATCATTCCGTTAGATCAATTAATGGTTGACTCAATTTAAAGATCAATTAAAAACTAAACTCAAATCTGATCCATTAAAAATTAAGTTCAAATGTTAGAGATCAAATATGTTACTTTGGAAACTTAAAAACCAAATAGAAACTAAATTTAAATTTTAGGACATGATTTTATAAACTTATGGATCAAATAAAAATTTAATCAAAACCTAACGGAACAGAGATGTATTTCAACCTTTGAAAAAAAAAAAAACCAGTCATTGAAAATTGCCAAAAGCATGGAATTGCATGCCATTATTTTAAAATGAAAAGTAAGCTTGGGAATCTCAACTATACTTCCATTTTTTTATGCCCAAATTATTACTTTTTGCTTCCTYACTTTATATTTATATTATGTATCATTTTTATTTCTCTACTTAACTAACCCCTAAAAATGTTTGATTTGATCAAGCATACTTTRAAAATCATCGACAATTTTTATTTTTTATTTTTGGGAAAAATGGATTTTGACTTAATTTAAGGGACGTTTTCTTGCATGTCACGCGACTCGTTAATACGTAATGTAATTAAGACATTGACCAAGAAACTAGCAAAAATCATTGCAAAGAGGCATTGAGAAAGTTTAATGTCAAAAGGCTATCCATTCTACATGTCAATGGCTGATTATATTACTTAAATCAATTCTTTTATTTCATTTTTTCTTTATCTAACTCGTTTTTAAAATAAGAACTAAGAAATCATTGAGTTATGTTTATGTTGGTAATTTAAATTACTCACATATTAAATAATTACATTACTTTACCATTTAAAAACATAATAATAATTACATTACTTTAATTTAAGTTGGGTCCTAACTTTCAAATCTGTGTCTAATATAAGTCATGAACTTTAAAACTTTCAATGTTGTTTCTAATAGATCCCTAAGTTTTTGTACTAAAAAAAATATATCTCTAAGCTTTAAAAAGTGTTTAGGTCTTAAGGACTGTTTGATAACGTTCTTGTTTATTGTTTCTATTTTTTTTAAAACAYAGGCGTTTAGCGACTTTTCTATTTCTCAATTTTTTATTTTTAAGAAACCTTTCCAAAATTGTGTATAAATTTTGAAAACAATAAAATCAAGTTAATTGTTTCTTGTTCTCATTTATAATTTTTTTAAAAACATATATAAAAGATTATTTTATCATTTTTTTACTTATAAATGCATAACAAATATAACATAAAATGTTTTAATATATATATATATATTACTTTTTTAATTAATATTTTAGAAAACAAGAAAACATGAAAGCCTTACCAAACATGTTTATGAAAAACAAGTAAAAAAAAAACAATTATCAAATGCGATTATAGTTTTCTTGACTGGAAAAAGAGGATAAACAAGAAACACGTATTTGAAAGAAAAAAAAACGTTATCAAACGGGTCATAACTATAAATTTTGTGGCTCGTAAGTCTTCGACCTACTCAAAATTTTTAAAAATTTTGAGATTTATTAGGCCGTTGACAATCTTCCAATTTTGTGTCTAATRAATTGTTGAATTTTTTTACATATATAATTATATATAATTAGTCAAGTATCTCTTAGACACAAAATTAAAAGTTTAGATACATTTTATAAATTCCATAAACATATTAGAAAGTTATTAGACATCTTTTAAAATGAACCACCTCTAAAAAGTTCAATAACTAAACTTGTAGTTTAATAAAATTTAATAATATAATTAATAAATAATAAACTAATAACATAAAGGGCATTGCAAAATAAATATAGCAATCTTTTCCATTGACAATTGCTAATATTCAACATATCTAAGTTATCAACATATTCAATTATTATGATATTTAACAAGGTCTCAAACTTTGAAACTTGACATGTCTCTCACAATTTATTTTTTTAATATCAAAATCCCTATTTTTCATATATAATGTCAACTACTACTAGTTGACTTTTAATATTTTTCAAACCCTATCTTTTATTTTTCAACTTTTTTTTTGGGAAATATTTTCATGTCAACCCTTTATACCCATATAATAATAGTTCA